TGAGGTGGCGGCATCTTGGGCTTTTTTGAGGTCCGGCTTTGGTTTGTGATGTTAGTTAACAAAGATTAGTTCAAATTTTCTGAAATTATTCTGTAATCAAACCTTTTGCCTTGTGATTTGAAGTTGTTCTCGTGGATTTGAAGGTAATCCTAACGAATGCTCAATGGGAGACTACGTGTTTGAAGCAATCACTAAATCTCTAGGGCTTCGACAAAAAAATCCTTGTGTTTTTTATGTTTTTGCTGAATATTATATTCTTGGTGCTAGTTGAGTCCCAAATCTTGAGCTCCATTTTTTCGAATAGATTTTGTAAAAATTGATTTTTTTGAGAATGCATGATTAAAAACTAGAAAACAAGTTTCGTGTTTATGTGCAAAATTATTTTATTTGAAAAATAAGTTGTTGGAAGTCTTGGAAATTAGAATGCGAATAATTTTGACAAAACCGTTGCGAGATGATAAGCAGACCACATGTCAAATTAGATAGATTAACCATGTTTTGAAAATTCATCAACATCATTCAAAATTTTCATTATTTCATCGATATTGTATTAGGATTTTTCGGATCGGGCCAAATAGAATTCGAATAACCATATTATAACAATATAACGTTTCAAGTTTGATTATTTTCTTACTAATGTAACATATTATTTTCTAAGTGCAATTATAGTTTCTGTTACTCCCGTAAATTATGTGGCACTATCTTGAAGGAAGGGTCCCACATTGCCAACTTGGCATTGACTTAGAGGGTCCTCTAAAAAGCCATCATGAGCTTTAGTCTAAAGGAGCCTTGGGTTGAAGGTCATCGTTATAAAGAGCCTCGGCTAAAGGGCCTTAACCACTTCTAAAGAGTATCGGCTGAGAGTTGTAGAGCCTCGATTTTGGGCTCGGGCAAGGCCCATAAACCATATGGCCCATTTACGTTTCCATTTTCTATATATATGTGAATCCATTTCATTTTAAGGTATGTTCTCTAACCCTATCCTCTTCCCCTCTTCATCTCTTGTACTTATATTTTCCTCGTCCGGCAGTTGACTTGACCGTCGGAG